AAAAATATGAAAAAAACATACGAGATCGCTGATAAAGTTTATTGAAGAAATTTTGTCGACAAGTCGGACTCCACATACGGGTTTCCTAAATAGGCACCAGAAAGTGCGTCTGAGTATAAATTCCGACTGGACAAGTTTAATGTAAAGCGGTAAAAGTGCACCAACGCAGTAAAACGGAAACTGGGCAGTAGAATATGGGTCACACACAGAAAGTGACAACATGTTGGATATAGCGAGCCAGCTTGGCTCAGGGTCAAGCCACATTTTTTAGGGTTTCATGATCTTCCGTGCTCGATTAACACATAAACCCTTTCAACGCTTATAATACTATTGGGAAGATCTGATTTTCGTCAAGGTAGGATTTTGTCATATCGTTAGAAACGTACCTTTAAGTTACTAATTGATAAGTATGTTAACAGAGATATGGTACAATCTTGTAAATGATTTATTTACTAATGAAAAGAGATATGAAAGTTAGATTACTTTCCTAGTCACCACTATCATATTATGGTCTATCATATGATAGTGATATCATAGTTGATATCATATAATGATGTGTTTATATATCGTATACTAAATAAAAGACATTATCTTTCCATGATGTAAAATTAATAAAACCTTGTATGATTTATTTACTAATATAATAAAAGCTATGAGAGTTAAATCACTTTTCTAATAACTAACGATGATAGTTGTAATAATGTATGTATATATATATATATATATATATATATATATATATATATATATATATATCATATATTAAATAAAAGACATCATCTTTCCGTGCTTATTATTGTAAAATAAACACAATCGCTCGCATTACACACTTCATAGATTTGTTCAGATTCTCCTGATACAAATTTAGTCATTTTCAGCTCTCTCTCTCTCTCTCTCTCTCTCTCTCTCTCTCTCTCTATTATCTATAACTTATAAATTGGGTTACTTTTCTCCTTGAAAAGAACCAATGACTGTTGTAATGATGTGTTTATGTATCATATACTAAACAAAAGACATAATCCTTCCATGCTTATCATTGTAAAATAAATACAATAGCTCATATTACGCATTTCATAGATTTGTATCTACAGGCATAAACTCAATCATTTTGAGCGCTCTCTCTATCTCTTCAATCTATAAGTTGGATTACTTTCCTTCTTGAAAAGAACGCTCCACTTATTGAAAGCGAGTTAATAGTGAAAAGTAGGACTTCAATATCTGAAATCGGATCTGACACTAACCGCGTACATGATTATTCAGATAGCGGATAAATATGACACCTCAAATTCGGATTTATCTCATGAGATACACGAACAGTTGAAGCGTCGAATTCGAACCTGAATCTAAGTTCTCGGCGGAGTCGGTTAAACACGTTCATAGCAAATGATCCCTCTCGAATATTTGACAATTAATAAATCGATATAGATATAGATACAGATTCAGATTTGGATTCGGATTCGACGCTTTAAATGTTCGTATATCTTATGAGATATGCGGATCCGCGGATATCCGAATAATGCGGGTTTGAAGTGTTCGATCGGACCGATCTCGGATACTCGGATAGTCATTTAATTGAATATGTAGGGGTCTTAGTGAGAAGTAATATCATAATATATTTTTATTTAAGGCGACATAAGTTTTGAATATGGTGAAAAAAGAAATGCTTCTGATCTCTTCAGACTGGTCTACGAAATATTAACAGCAATAAAGTTAATAGCAAAAAATTAATAAAAAATAATTTTAGAAAAACTGTTTTCTTCAGAAAACGGTTTATACTGAATGTTTCTAACAAAATATACAATAAAAAACGCAAGTGTCATCGTAAAGTTAGAAAAACTATTTATCATGTTTGAACTGCTAACAGCAATGTGATTAGCAAAAATGTCCTCAAATGTTTTCAACAAAGTTGGAAAACTTTAAATGATTAAGAACACTGTTATTAGCAAATATGTACTACTCACAAATTTGAAAATTTTTATAATACGATTATTTAAGTCAAGGCAAAGTTTCTATTATTAAAAGTATTGCTAACACATATATTTAGTTAAATTTTCTACTAATAACATTTGTTTTCAACATTCTTTGATTTAGACCGCCAAATAACAGGTTACATTATTTCTGCAGAAATAATGTTTTTACAATGTTGGTGACAAAGCCAAAATGGATAAATTTTGTCAATAAAATTTGTTTTCCGCAAAATATTGAAAACAAATGTTAATATTTTTTATTTTAAAATAAAAAAGTTAATAGCAAAATGATTAACTTGTCCTGTAATTTGTTGGAAAAAATTTTCAGCAATTTTAAATAAAACAATCTGCATTTGTCAGTAACACTGCTAGAAACACAAGTTATTAGCAATTTTATCGCTAGTGTAAACCGGCCTTTACAGAACATTGCAAGAACATCACTGACCGAATGTTGATATTTCGTTTAATAAATATCAACACAATAGTGCGACCATGTATCTACTTCATTTCATGCAACGCATTCCAATTCCGTTTACGGAACCTGCGCTTACGGGTGCGTAGATCTAGATCTATGAATCGAGCTAGCGTTGCATCGAGGTACGTGACGTTCTTACTATCTCTAGTAAGAACAGACCCAAAGATATTACGAAATCGCCTGGGAACCTGCAGACAGCGATATATTATGTATGCTCAGTATTGCTCGGTTAACCCGACTACGTTGACCGTGGCTAGAATTATCGAATGACTTTCGAGGTCAGGATCGAGTGGCGTGGCGACGTGGATCGTGCGCGGCCACGAGCGCTGGTCACGACTACGGGTGAGAGTCTCCTTGTATAGATCCATCCAGTGCCGGAAGTGGCGGCAGTCCATTTTCTCGACTCAACTTTCCATCACGATGGTATGGGATGCACACACCCGTGCGCTGCGGTTTCACATGTGGTCGAGGTGCATCTTGGACGGCCGAATGCAAGGTTCAGTGGGCCGCATGCAGTTTCTTAAAATGTCGAAAAAGAAGAGTCGCCCTCCGAAGTAGAAAAATATTTATTTGACAAAATAAATAGAACATGTCGTGTATTTACATGCATTCTAGGATAAACGCTCTCGCAGACCGCGGAAGAAACACTCGCGATATTCCACACCAACCATGCGAAAGCATCAATGTCATCGAAGCGACCTTTAATAGGCAACCCCCTTAATGTAGCCACTTAATGAAAATAATGCATGCAGTGTGTGTCTGCTGTAAAATGTTACAGGCTGCTTTCTCCGAACTGTTAAAAAAATAGGAGTGATTTTATCTTTTCGTATCGAGATCGCCGAAGAGCCTTCTACATGACAAGTATGTACGTAGGCTATCGGAGAAAATAGATTGCAACTCTATGTGAGACATCTTGTCTGGTAGTCTACAGCGCAAATGTAAAGAACACTCTGGCTAAGAAAGCAACGGAGATCCCTGTTGTACGAATAACGCCATCGGACATTCGCGTGAATGGCAATTTCTTTTAAACGCATGATCGACAATTAAGAAACACTCGCTTGTCATTCTCGAAGCGACGTGCCACAATGAAACAACTGCGCTCGTTATCACCTGCACGATGTCACTTTCTCGAAGACGCTTTGAAGCCAGTATACGCGCAATAACAGATGGTGGTAGCGTTCGCTCGAGACACTATGAGTCGTCTATTGAGCAACCGTCACAGTGACTCTTCAATAACGGAACATACACATTAACTACTACGCGAATGCAATTCGACGCATCAACTTCGATTCATTACTATGTATCTGATGCACATTCAAATTTGTGCTCGTGATAACGCGTATCTTGCCACATGATTATTCATGGAACTGTGGAAGCAATTGTAACGTGGGAAGTGTCACTGTTGTCGCAAAATCTCTCGCGAATAGTGTAATAAACTATTCTGCCCATTGATTCTAGTTTTGTCGTAATTAACGTTTGCTCATTGAGGCAACAGAATATCTTCTTCATAAAAAGGAGATCCTCTGTTCTCATCTATCACCCAAAACAATATAATCTCATTTTTACCGAAATTCTCTTATACGTGGCTTTCTTGGATTCTCGTAAAACCAAAAGGAAAATATTCTAACATCCAAAAAGAAGCATTTAAAAAATATTTTGCTAGTCTAGATAGAATTTTAAATGTTACAGTTGAGATTTATCGTTATTTTTTATATTTGCTAGGAAATTGTCTGTGATATGTAGAACTTATAGCAGTAGCGTTTTAGCATTATTAAGTAAGATGAAACAAGCACAAATTTACATGGAGATGTGAGAATTATATATTCGTTTGCTAGTTCTAGCCTTAAGTCACTTTTATAAGAAATGTGACTGGTTTTTATAAGAAGTGTAAATGGGCGCGCCATAGAGAAACTTTCTTATTAAATCTCAAAATAGATCAAATAAAAATTCTGTCTGTTATCTACGCTTAAATACAAAACATACACAACATCGTATTTGCTAGTTATATATAGAGTGTCTCAGATTCTTCTCCGCAATTTTGGTGAGAACATAGAACAGATTGGTGAACATAGAAGTCATATGTTGTTTTGCAATACTCGCAATAATAGTCGACATACTAATTAGAGAAGATTAGTGAATAATTAGTGGCAATGTGTGCTGTTGTGTGCTTGTACTTTAAGTCAAATTAAACAAGAAAGTTCTTTATTATTTTGCAAATAATCACATCGATTTAGTTATTAATGAAAAAAATTGTTACATAATTGTGTGATAATGTACAAAATTTCTTTAATTAATATTGCACGATAATATACGTCTTTTTTAATTAATATCTAAAATATATATGTGGTTATTTGCAAAATGAAAACTTGTAAATAGAGAACTTTTTGTTTAACATAATATATAAATATACAACGGCAGATGTCGTTACTACAGTTCATCTATCATATTGCGCGTGATCATTCACTAATCTTCTTTAATTAACTTATTCGAGCTTTATTGCAAATATCTCAGAACGGCATGACACATTTATGTTCACTTCAATCAGTTCTACGTTCCCACAAAAACTGCGGAGAAGATTCTAGGACACTCTATATATATATATATATATATATATATATATATATTTGAACTAATTTTTCGTATCTACATAACACTCATTATAACTACAAGATCACTTTTCTTTAAAGAATTCTAATTGTAAGATGCTATTTCTTATAATTCTATATGCTAAGTAAAAACTTTTACTAAAAGAGCAAAATTTGAATTATATTTTAATCTAATAATTCTAATAATAGCACAATATTATTTCTCTTCTAATGAAGAATATTTACTTTTTAGAAATTTCGGATATTTTTCTTTTGGCTTTAGAACAATTTGCTTGAGACCATATAACGTAGAAAATATTGTAGTAACGATTATGTTAAATTTGTACTTTTTTTCCTAATATTTCTTATAAAGCTGAACTATACTGTAAAAATATATAAATACTATAGGAATAGTAACTTTGGCGATCTACCTCATGTGCAATATAAAAAATATTACAATGTAAACAATATAATAATTTTGTAATAAAAAATCAAAAGTGCATAACATTTGGAAACAAATGTATAGTCATTTCTATTCGTTATTCCGGCATAATTTTATATGATAGAGATCACAAAAGTTTTTACTAAAACATTTTCTCCGTGTGTAACAGGATTTCGCTAAAAGATTATAATTCTTGGGCGATATTCTTATCGCAATTGCTTCACTGATAAATGCAAATTTTTGTTTCGTCACGGCAATATACCGAAACATTCCTATCAACGCGGACTTATCGGAACTCTGTGTGGAAAATTCTGATTTGCAGCTTGATTCTTTTAGCCGACGCAAAACTGTTCTAACGAAAGAAGAAAATAAAATCTTTTACGTGAGAAAGGTTAATAGGCGATACGGCATCATTAGCGCATCAAAATCACGCGACTGCGATAGCAACTCTCCTCCCGTCGTACTTTCTTCTTCAATCTCTCCCTCTCTCTTTTCCGCGCGGGTAAACCGGCCAGCCTGAATATCGCGGAGCGACCCACGGTCCGTTCGCGAAGAACGGGAACACCTCATTTCCATATTTGCGCCGGTTTCGCTTGCGCGTACGAAGGCGCGTAGCTCCACGGGTAGCTCGGTACAGCGGGTCTCTGCAGCTGGTAAGCGAGATTGGAGTAGTAGTACACCGGATAAACCGCTTTGACCGGTTTGTAAAGGGCAGGATTGATCAATGCGGTCTGCAGACCGTACGAGTGCTGCACGCCGGACGACGTCACGGCGGGGGTGGCTTGCGCAGGGTGTACTTGTGCGGGACTCGCCGGTAACACAGGATGCAAGGGAGTGACGATCGGATGCAAGGGAGTAGCGACGGGTCGTATCGGCTGCACAGGCAGGACCACTGGCGTGATCGCCGGAGCCAAAGCGAACCCTGGTTGATTAGGAGAGCCTGACACTGCTGTTGTTGTGGTTGGGATCGAAGCTGCCGGTCCCGTCGTCGGTTTCTGAGACAATTCCGGGATGGGTATCCCGAAGTGAGTGAGCGACGAGCCGGAGGGTTGCGCAGGCCTGACAGGTCCAGATGTAAAAACGCTGCTGCTGTAACTAGGAACAAAGTTGGTCCCTGTGATGAAAGTAGGCACGAACCCACCGTAAATAGGTATTCCCACGGGTGACCCGGGCTGATTAGGAGCGGGCAGCGAGGAGGTCACTTGAGTAGTGCCGTCGCCTCCGGATGATTGCGGAGGTCGAGTGGGAGCGGCGGGCACCGTCGTTGTCGTAGTCGGCGTTTGCGCGGTAGTCGGAACGCCGTAACTAAGGGGAAAGTCCAGAGGATTCACCGTGGTCCCTGGCAGGAAAGGAGACTGACTAAAGGCTGTGTTTCCGCCAGCGAAAGCTACGGTCTGCGGCGTCGTAGATACATGCGATTTCATTTGCTGGCTTATAGAGGCAAGAAGCTGCTGATTCTGAATGAAACTTGCTTGATTCTGAGCGTACCTGCCCGCCGTCTCGGCACTCGGGCTGCTTTGGGCCTGTGCTAGGGCTTGTTGCAGCTGCACGATTAGCCGGTCCTTCTCCAGAGACTGGATCTGCTCCAGAGTCTCTTGCGGATTCAGAGTTCCCGAAGCGTACGGCGGTAACGCGCTGGCAAATTCCTGAGGGCTCGGCGACGTACCCTCTGCGTGCCCGAACTGGCCGTTCGGGTTATGAATCTGATTGCCGGTATCTTGGATTTGATCATAGCTAGGTGCGAAATCCTGATTGCTCGCGGGCGCGCCGTAAAGTTGCTGAATCGCCTGCGCGTTTTGGGAGAGGAACAGCGCGGCATCGGAAATTTGATGATTTTGGTGCTCTACGAGATTCTGGCTCTGCGATCTCGTACTTTGAACTAGTCCGTGACCCGACGGGCTCGGCGGTGAATACGATTGCGGGGTGAAACTATCCGTCGAGGAGTAAGCGGGCAGTTTCTGATTCTGCGGCGGCAGATAGTTGGCCGTGTGTATGCCGAAGGGCTCGTTATTCTGACTGGCGATCGAATTTGCATTCGCAAAGTCGGCGTTCCTGATTGGGCTGGGCACTTCCTGCTGCGTCGGACCGACGTCGTAACTGATCGACTGTTGTTGACTGACGTGATGCTGTAATTTGTTTCGGTGCTGTTGAGCACGATACCCGTATGTGGCGGTCGAATGATTTGGCAGTCCGTATCTCGTGAACGGTTTGCTTAACTGACCGGGGATCCTAGATGCGATTTGATCTCTAGGCTGATTCGCCTGGAATCGTACCCGAGGATACGACGAGATACGACTCGGTTTGTTATAAGGGTATCCGGAGTCTCGTTTCCGCTGAACGTCGGGTTGCTCGGGGTTCGGTTCAATTTCGGTTTCGCCCAAGTCCACCGCCTCCAGCTTTATGACTTTTGACTTTTGCACTTCGGCCTGCGCGGCTCGAGTCAACGAAAGCACTAGCACGAGAATATAGATAATCTAAAAACAACATAGATATTCTGTGTAAAACATTAAATGACAATAGGAATATCACATTAATAAATGGAAGCACAATAGCTATAAAAAATGTAAGCTCAAATAAGATTGTACACAAGAAATAATTTAGTTATAACATTTAAAATATTAATTTAACAAATTGCACCATTCGGCACTTCTCAATAAAAATTATTAACACATGTAAAAGTACATATTGATATGTCTTTTAATTAATATTTTAAAATATAAGAAACAACATCACATATGTATAAATAGGGATAAAATCCTTCCATGTATTATGCGTTACTTTTTTTATCTTATTAATTTATAAAAAATGTAAGCTCAAATAAGATTGTACACAAGAAATAATTTAGTTATAACAAAACATTTAAAATATGAATTTAATAAATTACACCATTCGGCACTTCTCAATAAAAATTATTAACACATGTAAAAGTACATATTGATATGTCTTTTAATTAATATTTTAAAATATAAGAAACAACATCACATATGTATAAATAGGGATAAAATCCTTCCATGTATTATGCGTTACTTTTTTTATCTTATTAATTTATAAAAAATGTAAGCTCAAATAAGATTGTACACACGAAATAATTTAGTTATAACAAAACATTTAAAATATGAATTTAATAAATTACACCATTCGGCACTTCTCAATAAAAATTATTAACACATGTAAAAGTACATATTGATATGTCTTTTAATTAATATTTTAAAATATAAGAAACAACATCACATATGTATAAATAGGGATAAAATCCTTCCATGTATTATGCGTTACTTTTTTTATCTTATTAATTTATAAAAAATGTAAGCTCAAATAAGATTGTACACAAGAAATAATTTAGTTATAACGAAACATTTAAAATATGAATTTAATAAATTACACCATTCGGCACTTCTCAATAAAAATTATTAACACATGTAAAAGTACATATTAATACGTCTTTTAATTAATATTTTAAAATATAAGAAACAACATCACATATGTATAAATAGGGATAAAATCCTTCTTACTTTTTTTATCTTATTAATTTGTTTGCGTATATATATAAAATATTTTATAACTGAAGATTGTCTTGCTAAAAACTCATGCACGTTGATATGCAGAAATGTTTTGTCAAACATTTGTGTAGTGAGGAAAAGTACGAGAGCATTAAAACTTTCGCATAATACATGGCACACACAATCCACACCAAAGAAAGTTTCACGGTTTACGCGCTCTTACCGGGACGTGCCGCATTTTCAAAGCCGTGTAATCCTTATCGCACTTAACACTGCACCGAGACTGTCCAGCTGTCTCTTCCAGTAAGAAACTGCGCTATTTCCCACGGGATCTCGACATTGAATTAGGCTACGCGAACTAAGGAACTAATTTGTTCGAGGATGGACAGGTCCGCGCCGACTAAGACTACGGCCATTCCTGCACATGTATAAATACAATCGGGTCGCGACCGTCCACGAATTACAATAGACTTTCTTGCCGGCTTTCATCGATCGAACTTAAGCAATACTGTTACGGATTGGTGATGTTACACTTATCGATGCTGAGTACACGTCGTATATTCGTATTGGTTCCATAATCGAAATTTCGCGGCCGCTTGCCAAAATCTGCTGCGAACTATCTACGAACGATAACGCGCGCGCACATTCGGACAATGGTCAGGAATTGCAATCTTGGCGTATCTTGAACGAAAGATTAGTCACGGGACGCGATTGAAAGCCCGCGAAAGCCAATCTGGCCTATTAACCGATATGAAAAGCGTACAAAGGCGGAGAGGCGCTTAAAATAGCGATACTGGCTGCTAATTAGATAAATACACAACACGATCTTGCGTGCATGGGATTGTTTCGTGATGATAAAGAGGAGTTTGTACATCTCCCCGCCTCTCCATGTGGTGAAATGCATATAGGAGCGAATAAAAAGTCGGAACTTTCCAGAGATGTGCTAAAGATTTATTAAACGGTAACAATTACTGTAACTTTATAATAACTAATTATTCAAACAGTTGTTCGGTTAAACGGTTAACTAACAATTTACCACGTTAGAAGACAAATAAACTTATTATCGATTAGTTCAACTAATTGAGCAGCTATTGGTTATCTTGTGTATACTTAGGTCTGTCTTTTTAGTTAAACTCCCCGACTGGTGCAATAAGTTAAAGTGAGACAAATATATTTTGTTCCAATCTAACTTATATTGGAATGTTCTAGTTATTTCTTGAACTTCTATTGTGTTTTCTAGAGAGAACAGAAATTTCTCAGAATCGATGCCGGACGAGTAAATAATACCTAAGCATAGTTAAATCTTACATTTTAGATCGTCTTAAGATTATCTTCTTATGCAACGTAGCAACGTGAAATAATCCATACAGCATCTGAAGATGAACTCCAGACAATCTTCAATATATGGTCCGACTAATACTCGTAGACTTGGTCTAAACAGTTGATTTGGATCTTAAACATTATTGATCTTGTAAAACTATAACTCGATAACCGTTTAGTTCGTTATTCTCTAAATTTAATAACGGTTATTAACGTTGCTTCTCGCGATAACGGTTATTTAGTTACCAGATTTAGTTAATGGATAACGAAATAACGTCCATCCCTAGGACTTTCATTCATTCGGCGCGGGCTCGCGTTCTTCGTCCGTAAATTATGCTCTCAATAGGGAAATGTGTGGCTGCGAAGGAAACGGTGTCGTCTCGTGAACTTCCGACGAGGTCGCGCGGGATACAGCACGATTGCGTGAAACGCGGCGCTTCTTATATGGCATTCTTGTCACGCTCGCCCAGCTCTTCTTCGGGTCTACCAGTGAAAGTAGCGGCGAAGTCTCGGGTCTCGGAGAATACGGAATAAGCGCTTATTTACAAGTATACAGTCGTATTGTGTAACGCGCTGTTACGCGTAAATCAGATTCACGGCCCGGGCTTGAACGCGCGCGTCGATTTCGTCGCCACTTTGATGCATTCCGGACGCCTACGCTATTACGTGAATTCGTTCACTATCCCCATAAAATCGGAAATCGAATTGAATAACGGCAAGCGTGCCAATGCGCTCATTGTTATGCGTCCTTCAGCGGCGGAATTCATAAGCAGCATTTCGGAATCAGAAAGCTATTTAATGATATACTAAAGGATGTGAATGTGTGAAACACGTCGTTAAAAGCGTTCAAAGAAATAATTTTTTGCTGAATATATTTTCTGAATGAACCGTTCTAAATCATCGATGGAAATTTTGCAATGTTTCGAATCGTTTCTGTATGGATTTCGCCTTGAAACTGATCCAAAGAATAATGCTATAAAAGAGCCAAAATTTGCTTATAAATAATAATTTTGCAATGTTTAGAATCGTTTCTGTATGGATTTTGCCATGAAACTGATCCAAAGAATAATACTGTAAAAGAACCAAAATTTGCATATAAAAGAAATATGAAACTGAACTACCTTTACATTTTTTTTACTTTTAACCTATCAATTTTGAATATAAAGCTTAATTGTTCAAATTCGGAGAAACTTTATAAAAATACAATTCATTTTAAAAAACCTCGTTTTTTAGCAAATAAAAGCAAAAAGAAACAAAAGAAGCCTTTTTTATTGATTTTGTTAATTTCTTATTGATATTTTAACAGATTATTGTTTAACAGATAATTGTTAAGTTTAACAGATAGTTCTTGATTATTTCACATATACTCGCAGCTTTTACCAACTGAAACTTACTTGTTTTTGGTATCACATACTTTCAAAAAATTTAAAAATTACTTTTGTGTAGTGAAAAAGTAGTTTGTGTTATATCACGAATAAAATAATATAAGCATACTATTAGCTAGTCGTTAGCTCCGCACATGAACGCTACTGTCAATTATCTCCTCCGTAATACGATTCACGAAGCTGCGAAACAAGTCAAATGATCAAAAAATATTATTAATCGTTTATTAAAAAGTATTTTATGAAAAACAAGGCTTTTTTGTAAAAAAAAAACTGCATTTTCACAAAGTTTCCTAGAATTTGGACAACATTAAGCTTCATATGCTTATAACTTAATTTCAATAGTATAGTACGAACTGTTGCCGATCTACAATCATATATGTAACTTTCACCTCTCAATTCTAATCTCTATTTCAAATCGTAAAAACCACACACACACACACACACAGAGGTAAATTTAAACTTAATAATTTACTATTCATAACAGAATCGTAAGTATATACTAGTTTATTTATTATATACAGATTATTTAACGATAAAATATAAAGATCTCGTGTACGCGTATAGATTAAGTAAATCAAACAAAAAATTTCTCTTTTATATTGCAAACAACCTGGTAAATTTTTGAGTTTTTAATTAAAAAAGATTAATAATTGCGGTGACGATTTTCGAATTTTCGTTAATTAATAACTAAAAAATCTACGTAGTTATTTTTAAAATGAGAGAAGACCTTTTTGTTCACTTTAAGGGAGATAAATACTGTGAAATACTGTTTTTCTTAACGAATTTTTTGTGCTTTGATGCTTATAAAGCAAGTAGATAAATAAATGTTTTTACATTGAACTAGTCATCTTTTGAAGTGTTGAAAAGTATTTTTCTATTTGATGAAGTACATTTTTATTTTGGTATAAAATGTATCTGTAGTAAGCTCTGCACACTCCATCGACTCTGCACTTTTGGAGTCCTTAAAAGTCATCTGAAATAAAAAAAACCCAAGATTTTCTTAAAGTAAATAAATGAAGTTTTAATTAAGATTTTTTTTATGATTGAAATTTCCCAAAAAAATGCCAATAAAAACGGTATTTTTATTTTAGACGATTTTCGAACATTTTTTTAAATGTGCGCTATTTTGCGAATAATTAAAATATTAAAATTTTTGTACACTTAACTGAAACTACATTCATATACTTTACATTTATATACATTTTATACCAAACTAAAAATGTACTTTATCAAATAGAAAAATATTTTTTAACAGTTCAAAAGATAACTAATTCAATGTAAAAACATTTATTTATCTACCTGCTTTATGAGTATCACAAAAAACTCGCTAAGAATTTTTTTAACAATGTTTATCTCCTTTAATCTAATGTATGAGCACACAAAAACGCAGGCGTCACCATCACATCTTATCCCATATAGCACAAATATTTCCTAGATATTCTAAAAACGTTCTAAGAATATTCGAATATTGAATAGGATATTTATTGAACATTTATGCTGTATAGGATTTATTCCGTAACGCATTATCATTCACTAATCTTCTTCAATTAATAACTTAAAATTTTACGTGGTTTGTCGCAAAATAGTAATAGAAGTTTTTGTTCAGTTTGACCTCGTCCACTCGTATGCGAGAGTTTATATGTTGTCGTCAGATATTCTGTATAAAGTAATATCTAATAATTAACTATGCCATCCAGCTTCGTGAATAAATACATGTAAAATAAGTTTCTATGTTGGAAACTTGTTATTTATTAATTAAATTAATTATTGTAGACATGATAGAATATAACGAAAAAGGACAAGATGAAATCACATAATGTTTCCTCTTACCTTAGAAATTGATGAAATCACATAATATTTCCTCCTCTTGGAAGATTAATATTAATAGAAATCGTTCAAAAAGCAAATAGTCTCACCTAATTATTACTATTATTATTTATAATTGTTTATTATATTTTTTTACTTATATCCTTAATGTACATATAGACACTAATTAGTAGTAGGTGTGTATAAGTAGTTATGTTAAATAATAATTTAACTTAACTGCGTTATAAACTAGACAAAGTTTGAATTATTAATTAAAGAAGATTAAGGATCGCAGGCAACGATCTTCGAATTATCTTTAGTTAATAACTAAAAAATCTAAAATGATATGAATTTATAAATTAAACATATTTATAAATATAATTTTATAAAATAATGCTGTGCTTTTTGAGATGTTAATATTATTCGTATTTATGTTTATTTTTTAGTTTTAAATATAGATTCATAAATATACAAATATACGTATAATGCACATATAATTTGATTGGAATGTATATATTTTAATTGATTGTATGATTTTCTTTTAATCTTCCCTACTTTACGGGCAAATAAAAAATCGACACTATTCTTCTTTTTTTTGTAATTATTTCTAAGAAAATTAAAAAGACTTAAATTTTTTTACTAAGTTTTTAGAAAACAATCCATACTAAATATCTACATAATTAACAAAAAAAAGAATCTATATTAACCTTCTTTTGACAACTTTTTAAATAGTATTTCATTTTGTCAGCCCTTCCTCAAACTCTCAATGTATCAATGCAATATTTTGAATTATAGCTATAAAGAATAGTAGAAAATCAATCAAAAAATAGAAAAAAAGGGGCAATTCGAGTTTAAGCACAGGACTAATAGTGCTATGTACCATATGGGTAAAACCTTCTTTGTTAGGAAATCGTGTAATATTTATTGAACATGAATAATCAATATAAAACAATCATATTCGGTTCAAACATGAACCCTCTTCAGTGATAATAAAAACTCAAGGTTTATGATACGAACGCATTACAATTAAAGACTTAAATAAATTGACATGAATGTTAATCGCAATATTATAGCTGACAAGACCGTTACCGAAATAATATTAAGCAGTTAATTAATATTGAGAAGTAGCCGTCATACATGGCAATGTTATCGTTGACAGGATCGGTTTACTTTTAGCTGAACTCAACAAAGTTATGATGGCTACTTCTCAATATTAATTAACTACTTAATATTATTTCGGTAACGGTCTTGTCAGCTATAATATTGCGATTAACATTCATGTCAATTTATTCAAATCTTTAATTAATTGTAATGCGTTCGTATCGTGAACCTTGAGTTTTTATTATCACTGAAGAGGGTTCATTTTTTAACCGAATATGATTGTTTTATATTGATTATTCATAGTGAAATATTAATGGCACTAAGGAACTAGCACGGATGTCTTAGTGCTATTAAATACTAATATAACTTTAATATTAATATGATTGTGGGAGGATAAAATTGTCCAGTATGTCAAACGTACGTATCGAAATTTTCTCTTCGATTACCGTACGCGGAGAATCAACCTTCCATACTTAAACCGATCCTTGAGTCCCAATTTTAAATATATATTTTAATTAAATTCCCAAAACCCCCATTAAACCGAAGACTCAAATAGATTCCTTTTTCCACTTTCCGGACGGGACGCTCCTAGCAGGAGCTCACCTTACATCTTAGAGAATTTATAAACATTGTGTTGCGAGATTACTGTCGAAGCCTTGGTAGCTGAATGGAAAGGCGTCCCGCCCGGAAAGTGGGGAGGTTCCAGGTTCGAGTCCTGGCGGAAGCAGTTTTTTCGCAGCATATATAAAAAAAAAAAAAAGGAATCTATTTCAATCTTCGGTTTAATGGAGGTTTGGGATTTTAATTAAATATATATTTAAAATTGGGACTCAAGGATCGGTCTAAGTATAGAAGGTTGATTCTCCGCGTACGGTAGGCGAAGAGAAAATGTCGATACGTGCGTTTGACATACTGGACATTTTTATCCTCCCACAATCATATTAATATTAAAGTTATATTAGTATTTAATAGCACTAAGACATCCGTGCTAGTTCCTTATGTGCCATTAATACTACTGTGTCCAAAAAGTAAGACCAGTTTTCAATTTAAATCGCGCGGGTAAACCGCACATCATAAATATTTTTTTTCTAAGTTGGCAGCATTGTGACAGACATCTGTGACAAATTTCATGTCAAAACATTCATTACTTTTTGCTTTACGCTTGATTTTGTACGACGCTAAAAGTGCATTCGGCGATTTTTACAATGTCTAATTATATTGAGCAAAGAAGTTGCATTAAATTTTGTTTACGGAATGAAATTTCGGGTGCAGAAACGTTCAGGATGTTGCAGAAAGCCTTCGGGGACCATGCTTTGTCGGAAAGAAATGTTTACAAGTGGTATAAACAGTTCAAAGAAGGTCGTGAAAGTGTTGAAGATGAAGAGCGTTCCGGACGACCATCAACCTCTACCGATGAACAATACGTCAAGAAAATCGAAGAACTTGTGCTTGCTAATCGTCGAATGACTGTTAGAGACCTTGCTCATGCTGTTGGTATTTCGAAAGGATCTGCCAATACCATTTTGAAAGATATTTTGGGCTTGAAACGTGTAAAATCTTGACTAGTGCCAAAACATCTCAATTACTGCACTCGTTCTTCGTGACTTTTTCGCCAAAAATTCGATCCATATCGTTCCACAACCACCATATTCGCCTGATTTAGCACCGTGTGACTTCTGGCTATTCCCGAAACTCAAAAGACCACTGCGGGGAAATCGTTTTGAGACGATAGAAGAGATACAACGTGAATCGCTACGCGCTCTGATGAAAGCCATCCCGGAAGGCGACTTTAATTCTTGTTTCGAGAACTGGAAAATACGTTGGCATAAGTGTATTGTGTCGGGAGGAGATTACTTTGAAGGCGACGAAATAGATTTGGAAGAATAAATAAATATTTTTTGAAATAAATAAAAACTGGTCTTACTTTTTGGACACAGTAGTATTTCACTATTAGTTAACTCTATCAAGGAGCGTTCTATTATTTCGGTTTTTTTTTTTATTATTCATGTTCAATAAATATTACATGATTTCCTAACACAAGGAAGGTTTTACCCATATGGTACATAGCACTAATAGTCCTG